GCTGAAGCTGGAGCAGACGAATATGGGGCGAAGTGGGCTTAGGACCATGTAAGTAAAGTTTCCCAGATACATTTGAGTTTCTTCAGCTAAAGCTCTATTAAGGAGAGGAGGAACGACTAGGCGCTAGTCATATGTCAGTGAGATATGTCCTAGAGCTAGAGGCTCATCTAGGATGATAAGGGAAGGTCGTTCGGTGACTTTTGTCAGTTCTAGTCAGGTTTCTTGCAGACTAAACAAATTCACACTTATTGAAAATTGTTGAATTATATGCATCCGAGATACCTTGCCAGGGTCGTTAAGTTAAGTGACCTTGATTGTAATTGAATCCTTAAATTTGAATGGCCAGTACACAAATAATTATACCTGCTATCGGCGCGAAATTCTTAGAACACTCTAAATATTCATATGAACCAAGAATTGGACATAATTGGATTTCTATTTCGCCTCTTTCGGCTCTCTCAGACAGAATATGGGTTGGATTCCATATTATATTAGCAAACAAATAAATTTAGCCGTTCACTAGCCGAGAGCTCTCTTGGCATTCATACCACCTGTCACGATCGCCTGCACACGTCTAGAACGCAACTTCGATAAAAAATATACTGGTATATGTGCGTCTATCTACGGAGGTAAGTAACCGCATCTGGAGAGAAGATGGGCATCGACGAGATGCAGAATACATGGGGATCATTGCCAGTTACCGCAAGGATGATTGACGCACCAGTAACTTGTTAGGGCTCCAATAGGCTGATACTGTATTGGTGTGGTACGGCTGAGGGACGGCGGTACGGGACGTCACCACTGACCAAGCGGGAGCGGGAGCGGGGTAAGTAAGCTATGTGAGCACACTTCGGCGACACGCCGTTCTCAACCGCGCGGCGCCATTTCGTGCATTTCGCGGATGTTCCCTTGTACCGATATGTGCAGAAATACCCATGCCAATCCAATGTCGCGTTGAGCGATAACTCATGCGAAATGCGGATCGGGCAATTCGAGCGCGCGGAGGCTACAAAGCTTACAGATAAGAATCCTGATCAAGATACATGGTGTTTCCGTTTGTAATAATACGATACAATCACGCTATTCAAAGTACCTGAGCTTCACAACGACTACGTACTTCAGTCAGCTACTCCCATCAAAACTTCCACGAGCCCAACATTCCGAGTGCCACAATGTATGACAAAATCTCATCCTCTGAGGGATTACTCTCTCGCTCAAGCTCGCCGTCCTTCGCGTCTGAAGAAAAACTCGAAATCCCGAGGCGTAGAAACGCTCAAGTTCTTCCAAAAACTACCTACATCCTGATCGGTCTATTAGTTTTGTCTCTAATAGCCAATGTCGTTGTGGTAGTCGTTCTGAATGCTGCTATTTCAAAGGCGAATGGGCTGCTCGGGGATGAAACAAGAAATTGCAAGTCTCAGACAAAACTTTACTGTGAGTATTTGGCCACTCAACCCAGAATTAATGCGTCTAACTTTTCGCCTAGCCCCAGCGCAAGATGCATTGGAATACAAGGTCACCAAGTTTGAAAGTTCTATTTACGGGGGAGAAACGGAATATCAAGGTCCACCAACTGAGCATAACAACCGATTATGGAAGCAAACCTACGCCCGTATGTACAGACCAACTGTTTGAGGTTTCCTAGGATGAATCAACTACCAAGTCATTGACTGACCAGTTCTGAATAGATATGAACACTCACATTACCGAAGAAGAGGCAAAACAACTTCCGAATAAGACGATGCCGGAGCCTCCGTATGAAGGCAGCGGATACCTAATTGTACTGAACGTATTTCACGACTTGCATTGCATAGACAGCCTCCGTTTGGCACTATATTACTTTTTAGACGATCAGTGGAACAGCACCTACAATCCCTACACTCTTTTCGAACATCCTGACGATGCACTTTGGGCCAAGGGAGGGCGCGACTTGAGTATCATGCACTTAGACCATTGCATAGATGCTCTACGCCAATCCACACAGTGCAATGGGGACATTACCCCCAATGTATACCAGTGGAGCGAGAAGTGGGGAGAAGTCCGAGCATGGGCTACGGTAGTTCATGAGTGCCGGAACTTTGACAATGTAAGTGTACAGAGAAGCCATGAGAAACTGAGTCTGCTAACAATCAAACAACAAGATCGTAGATTGGGCGAAGTCTCACTACTCCCGGTTGCCCTTTGCGTTTGGAGACGGCCCAGCAGTTGGCAAGTGCGCATGGGACGATCCTTGGACTTGTCTATTGGATTGAGTTGAGGTTCTAATAGCAGCTATCTTCGCCAATATTGCCCCGAATTTATCGTGTAAATTTCACTATGCCATGTCCCACTCTAAGCCCTAGCTGTCCATTCTGATGTATGAAGAGCAACCCTATTATTTAGGGAAGGGGTGGGGGGAGGAGGAGGTCGCTAATAAAAGAGGCTCGCTAAGAAGCATCCCCCTAGAAGATCGCTTGACATGGGTCATTTTTGATGCCGCGCGCAAGGAAATCTGCCGGGCGGGAAGTTTCACACCTTCTTAATCTGTAAGCTAGTGATCAGCCACCTCGGTAAGGAAACTGCGTCGAGAAAGAAAACATGAGGCATACCCACCATTGAAGCCGTTTCCTTCTCCTGGTACTGTTCAACATATTATATACTGTTGTTTATACCTCTGACATCGTTTCTCTAATATGGACGTGGTGACTGCGGCAAATATCAACGATTTCGGACCTCGCCGCGATGGAAGCTTTGACTTCACATTGCTCTTCGAGCAAAGTGTCCTCTCTATCTTACCTTCAACCCTCTTCCTAGGTGTCTCGTCGCTAAGAATCGCATGGCTGTTTCGACAGGAGATTCACGCGCGCAGTGGCGGGTTGCTCACGGCCAAGCTTGTGAGTTGTCTTCAATCTACCAGTGACCGAATTTCGCAGAAAGCCATCTGAGAAGTGCCTTTATCACTAGTTTGCTTCTACCATTCTGTTCTGTCTTCAATTGGCGCTCGTGGCTCTATGGACGATGCATTCAAAATTGCAAAATCGAGTGACGCTCGCTGCAGCCATATTGGCTCTGATAGACTCGTGCGTCATTATGCCATTGGTGTACGCCGAACACAAACGCTCCATCAAGCCTTCGATCGTTCTAAGCGTTTATCTTGCTCTGTCCACTCTCCTCGATTTGGCTCAGGGGAGATCTTTGTTCCTGCAAGACAATATTGGCTCTACGGCCCTAGCAGGTCTGTTTGTGGCGACCTTGGCAACGAAACTAACCTTACTACTCCTTGAAGAGCTATCAAAGCATACGCTGTTGATAGCAAAATTACAGGATTCGGCCGTTGAATCAACTAGCGGACCGATAAACCGCGCTATCTTCTGGTGGATCAATCAGTTGTTTTTCAAAGGATTTCGAACCCTCCTCGGAGTCGGAGATCTCGGAAGTATAGACAAAAAGTTTTCTTCCAATCTACTCCTGTCAAAATTGTGCTATTTTTGGGATAAGAGCAATAAGTCCGCAAAGCACTCGCTCCTCACTTCGACTTTGTCGGCTTTCAAAGTTGCTTTTATAGCCCCAATTCTACCGCGTTTATGCCTTGCGGGATTCAGCTTCGCTCAACCGTTTCTGGTTAACCGCGTTATCGACTTCGTCGGCCAGACCTCGAATGATGAATCTAGTGGGATTGCAGGAGGATTGATTGGCGCTACGGCTTTGGTATATATGGGCATTGCTGTAAGTTATATATGCTTCAAAACAGGACAGGCTGGTTAACAAATGTTCTCAGATCTCGAGGTGTCTTTATAATCATCTGATTTATCAGCTGATTACAATACTGCGAGGAGGTCTCGCATCTTTAATCTTTCAGAAGTCTATGGAGCTGAGCGCGGCTGCTGCCGATTACGGAGCCGCAATCACGCTTATGAGCACTGATATTGAGGGCATCGCGGACGGCATCAAGGAGATGCATGAGATTTGGGCTAATGTATTTGAACTTGGTGTAGCTGTCTATCTCTTGCAGCTCTATATTGGCTCTGCCTGTTTTATCGCCGTTATTCCGGCTGTAGGTAAGGAAGACTTATTGATCCTTCTTCAATGGTGTTAGGCTGACCACGATTAGTTTGCAGCATTGTTACATCATACTCCACGGAAGGTATTGGTCCCGCTCGAGGTAAGTGGAATAGTGGAGTGGAAAAGCGTGTTTCGACGACCTCGTCAATGCTTGCTCAAATCAAGGGACTTAAGATGATGGGTCTGACCGACTATATGTCTGAACTGATTCAGAACCTTCGGATTGCTGAGCTGGAATGTTCCAAGAAATTCAGAATGTTCATTGTCCGCATAATATTGATAAGTAAGATTATATACGTCAATTCCTAGACAAGCCCTTACTTCACCTTTGACTAACAGTTTTAACAGCCAATTTTGGGGATCAAATGACTCCCGCAGTTGTCGTGCTTGCTGCTGTGTTGTGGACCCAAACGGGTCCAGAAGGGTTCACGGTGTCGAAGGCATTTACGTCTCTCTCGATCGTAAACCTGGTAGCACTTCCTGTTTCAAGTCTTGTGGGATCATATCCTACTTTCGTGTCGTCGCTTGCTTGTTTCAACCGCATCCAGCTATTCCTCAACTCTGATCAGCAAAAGGACGAAAGGTGTAATATTTTTCTCCCTAGTGAGCTAAAAACCTCCTCAGAGTTTGTATCTACTGCTGAAGTCTTCTCTCAGCCGGAATACACTTTTACGAATGTTGAAACGCAAAAGCTTCCGTCCAAAGGTCTTGCTAACTTGACGAGTAATGCAATCATTAAACTTGAGCATGCAAGTTTTACGATAAAAGACAAAACAGAGCCTGTTCTCCACGATATCTCAATATCCATTGAGAGGTTTAGCCTTACCATGATAGTGGGACCTGTGGGATCCGGAAAGTCTTCAATGCTAAAAGCGATCCTTGGTGAGATACCCATTTCATGCGGAACCGTTCGAGTGCAACAATCCCGAGGATCAATCGCCTATTGCTACCAAACTGCATGGCTGCGCAACCTATCAGTACGTGATAACATTGTTGGCCAGAGCGAGTTTGACCAGGACTGGTTCGCATCAGTTATAAATGCCTGCTCCCTACAGCAGGATATAGCATCGTTCTCAAAGGGGGATAAGACCTTGGTTGGTAGCGGCGGGATCAGCTTGAGTGGAGGGCAGAAACAACGGGTAGTAAGTAAGGAGAGGCCTCCTACTCACCCTAGTTATTGACGTTTATAGGCACTTGCGAGAGCTATCTATTCCCGAGATTCCATTGTTCTTCTGGACGATATATTTAGTGCTCTTGACCCTGCCACTTCCAGGACGGTATTCGACCGTGTACTTGGCTCAGACGGCCTCCTACGTCAAAGTGGGACGACAGTAATCCTTACAACCCATACAGGTCAGTGCTTTAATTGCTGAAAAAATAACCAATGATGAACTCATCTAAAAAAAAACCCTATTAGTTTCCTTCTTACCTTCTTCCGACTATATTATTGTTCTTGACAAGACTGGAAGGATTAGGCAGAGCGGAAGCCTTTCACATCTTCAAGCGAGTGACGGCTATATCAAAGAGCTAGCATTACAAGCCCATCCCAGTCCTACTACAGAGAATGAACATCAAGAGCAACCGGAGATATCGACTACCGATTCGGAAATTTCTTCTACGTCTACTGAAGATGACGCTTGGAAAAGACAGCTTGGCGATCTATCATTGTACAAATTCTATCTCAAGTCTGTGGGTACCTTGTTTGCAGTGGGTTTTGTCTTCCTTGCCATTGCATATATTTTCATTAGCAGAATGCCCCAAATCTGGCTGCGTATCTGGACCGAGCGTGGAACCAAAACAGATCGTGGAATTTACAGCGGAGCTTATATCTCGTTCTGCCTGGCTGCGATAATATTCTCTGGCCTTGTGGTCTGGTGGTTCTTTGTTGTAATCATACCAAAGTCGGCGACACACTTACATTGGCTGCTTCTGGACGCCGTTCTCAAGGCACCCTTGTGGTTTTTCACCACTACAGATAGCGGTATCACGCTCAATCGTTTCAGCCAAGATATGACGCTTTTCGATCAGAAGCTCCCCATAGCCTTCTTTGAAACAACCCTTGACTCTCTGGACGTGGTCGCCGGGACAGCACTAATTGCTTCGGGCGCGCAATATGTTGGAGCAGTCATTCCTCTTTGCTTTGTGCCTTTATACTTTCTGCAGAAGATCTACTTGCGTGAGTGTATTTCCATCTCTATGAAATGTTGACCAGGATCGGTTAATACCCCGCCATGAATATACTAACGGCAAGAATGAAAAGGAACATCTCGCCAGATGCGACATCTTGACCTCGAAGCGAAGTCACCCTTATACAGACACTTCACCGAGACGCTGAACGGCGTTGTTACAATTCGAGCATTTGGCTGGAGACCTTCTTTTCTGAAAGAAAATCACAGATTGCTTGACGACTCCCAGAAGCCGTATTATCTCCTGTTCTGCATTCAACGATGGCTAGCAGTTGTTATGGATCTGTTTGTTGCTGGAATTGCTACAGTATTGGTAAGAAACTAGACTCCTTGGACCAAAAGCTGTCGAAACATTGCGTTCTCATTGTGCCTTCACTATTGATGGCTCAGCTAATAGTCGTTGCGCAGGTTGCCTTTGCGGTCGAATTCACCCATACCACAAGTCGTGGAGCAATAGGGCTAGCTATGATCAACATTATAGGCTTTAATACTAGTCTGTCAAGGCTTATCAACTCCTGGACAAATTTGGAAACATCCCTGGGCGCTGCTGCTAGGTTACGTGATTTTCTTCGAGACACGCCGAAAGAAGATAAGGATTATTCTGGAGACTTGCCGTCTCAACCAAAGGACTGGCCCTCATTAGGCGGTATTGAGCTCGATAATGTCACTGCTAAGTACCAGTAAGTTTCAGTAGTTCCAGAGTAGAGAATCTTTCGATACATCAACTAATCACCTTGCAGACTGAGTAGTGAAACGGTTCTCCGCGATGCTTCGCTGAGCATTAAGCCTGGTCAAAAAGTGGGTATCTGTGGACGGACAGGGAGGTAAGAGCCTATCAGACGTTGCAAGCATGACAGACATTAACTATAAATGTAGTGGTAAAAGCTCCCTCCTCCTTACTATTCTTCGGCTTCTCGAAACCCCAACCGGCTCTCTTTACATAGACGGACTTGATCTTTCCTCAATTCCTGTCAACACAACCCGCTCACGCCTCACGACATTGCCCCAAGATCCCGTGAAGCTTCCGGGCACAGTCCGCGACAATCTTGATCCGTTTAAATCTATTAAGTCGGACGATGACCTGGTCTCCGCCCTCATCAAAGTAAACATGTGTGACGTTATCACCACCAGAGGCGGTCTCGATGTAGAGTTCGACACCTTGAGTCTCTCGCACGGGCAGCAGCAGCTCTTCTGCCTCGCGCGCGCACTGCTACATAAGAGCAAGGTTGTGTTGATGGACGAGGCGACTAGCAGCGTTGATCAGCAGACAGATGAGGAGGTACAAAAGGCTCTTAAGTCAGAATTTGCGAATTGCACGGTCCTGGCGATAGCGCATAGACTCGAGACGATAGGTAACTCGGATGTGGTTGTTGTTGTTGACAAAGGCAGAATTGTGGAAGTAGGGAATCCGCAGAAGCTTAGAGAGGACCCTGAGTCGTTGTTCAAAGCGCTTTGGGAGAATAGACATAGGTGAATCTAGTGCACACAGAGCCTTGCCAGCCTCTCGATTCTCGAGTTTAAATACAGTCAAGCATCCTTTTACTTTCCATCTAAGTTAGACGCGGCAGCAAATTTATTATTCACAAGAAACTTTCACACCAACCTCAACTCCTCTAACTACTCATCCCTTATAGAAGGAAATTAAAAACAACACTAATGCTTCTTCTTAATAAAGAGAATGGCTGTCTTATAGCTAGTAATAATAAGAAGGAGGTCTTAAAGGTATACTGCTTTCTAATTATCGCTGCTTTCTAATTATCGCTGCTTTCTAATTATCGCTGCTTTCTAATTATCGCTGCTTTCTAATTATTGCTGCTTTATTTATAAACACACTTAGACTAGACCCTTATAAGGCTAAGATAGGTAGTTAAACACAATGTATTTTTTCTTTGTCCTAAGGTCAGTTAGTAAGCTCGCTGCTTCTACTTAGGTGCTAATTACCATTAGCTTACCCTCTCCTTACTATACTCCTTCCTATAAAAGTTTAAGCTAAAACCTCCCTAAACTACACTTACTATTATTAGCATTTCATTACAACTACAGTTAAACCCCTTAAGTAATGGATGGATTATATAATATATTAAGATTAGAGATTAATAATAGTGTTCCTATAGTATAGCTAATAAAGCCTATAAAATTTCCCTCTACCTCTTTACTTTATCTAGCAAGCTGTTGTTTTACTAAGGCTAATCTCTATAGCTACTAAGAGCAACTCTATAAACCTAGCTCTAATCTCCTTAATATTTAAATTATACTCTATATTATAACATTATACTACTCTTCTTTACCTAGTCTTTATTATATATATACTAGATGAAAGATATTATAGTCCCTCTAGAGTAGTCCTAAATCACAGAACGCTAGTCCCCTAAATGCTAATTATAACAGAACCTAATTAAGAGTTAGTATAGGTAGCTACTCTAACGTCTTAACTTAGGGATATTTGTAACGCTAGGTCTTAAACTATAAGACTCATAGAGGTTTCGTTGCGTTGGTTTACTTAACAGAGGAGGTAGGGGATTAGACACTAAAGGCTTTCGTAAAACACGTTATAGTATATAACAAAATACTATATTGAGTTGAGCACGAAGCTCCTATCTAAGAACTAACTATCTACTTATATAGTGGCGTTGTACTAAAGGGAATAGTTAGAATAGCAAACTCCTTTGCTATTCTTGCTATTCCTGCTATTCCATTACGTAGGGTTCTTATAAGGAGGTGCCCACGAACAGTCCAGTACCTGCTCTGTTCGGTACCTAGTAATAGTCAGGTACCTAGAAAGAGTTAGGTGCCTGCTTAGTCCGGTACCCGGCCATTCCTAGGTGCCTGGGAATTCTCTAGTACCTATAGAAGTAGGTGCCTGAGAAAACTCTGTTACCTAATGTCAACCCTACCCTAAGGGCGGTCAAATCGCTAACATGTTTATTACTAACATAACCGATGTGTTAGCGAAAGTGCAGCTGTAAACGCTAGCCGTAACAATATTATTCACTTGCCTTTTAAACTTGCCTCTAATAACCCTAAGATTGTCTATAGTAGTAAGGGCATATTATTTTTAATAACAGTCGTTAGGTCATTATACTTATCTATAAGGATTTTGTAGTATCTAGCTAGGCGTTTGGTCTTTAGTTTCAGTTAGTGACGTTTGACACGATTATGAAGGCGTTGAAGTAGACGTAGGTCGATGGGTGCGTTTCTTCTAAAGACTATGACAACGAGCTTGTTTGGCTTTAAGAGGGTATGATTTTAGCCACACCGTCGTTGCAGGGGGGAACAGGTGCAGAGGAGTAGAGTGCTGTGTTTAAAAGACGAGACGGCTTGCATAGGAGAACTAGGGGATATATATAGACAGCAGGAGCAGAGCTTGAAGTGCAAGGTGGGTGGCTGCCATGGTAGGCAGAGGAGTTAGGGAGGGGCCCCTTAATGTTAGGGGTCATCATCTGTCTAGAGGTATGTATAATCGGAGACAGGACAGCGGGTGGTCATCATCTGTCTAGAGGATGGGTTTTAGGTTCTAGAGTTTAGGTACGGTACCTTCAGTCTAAAAATTATCTGGTGGCCGATCGCTAAGCAACGCACGTGATGAAATCTTAGTGTTTGTGGCTGCGTAAAGCAGCAACTAACGCCAGCCAAAAACAGCAGCTCTAACACTATAATCTTGTATAAAGTTATAATACATTTTATAACACATTAATAGTAAGTTATACTCTTTTATATAGATTATATTTATAGCTATATACATGTTGGCGATTCTGCATTAGGAAACAAGGGGGTCTACAACAGGGAAAGCGTTGCTAAGCCTATATAGCCGCTCTAGCGCCCTCGCTGCTTAAACGCATTATACCCGCCTACGCTAGCGTTACCTCAAACATAAATCCAACGCTGTTTCCACCTCAACTCACCTCAACACCTCTCGATTAGCTGCCCCTATTTCTTGCTCATTAAGTAGAGTAGAGGCCTTGCAGCCTACGGCCTTATCTTGCTCGTTCTTTGTAGGTCTAGCCTCTTTAAGACCTGCATTTATCACAACGTGCATCTATCTAGCTAACTTGTGTGTTTCGCAATATAGTAGTAGTTTCGATACCTTATTATTCGCATCTTGTACCTAGAAACCTAGGCCTGTATAGGGCTAGAGAACCCTAGTTACCTCTCGCTCTGCCTTGCTATCAGCCTTAATTTAGGCTACGGAGACAGCAAGACAGCAAGGACGCTATTGCCCTCTCCCGCTAGGAAATGCCATAGACCTGCAGTTTAATGAGCATGACAACACAGCTCAGCTTTAGCCATGACACAGTTATTCTGCTTTCGCTATGTCTTGTGCTGCGTTGTTTCCCTTGATGTCTGTTCCTTTCGTTTCCAAATGGTTCTAAGGTAGCCTAAATGTAAGCGCACTAGTTCAGCTAGGGCTTCTTGTGGCGTGCGTTGAGTCGGGCAGTGCTTATGTGGATGCCCCTCCAACTAGGGCTTCCGACCTTCCTTAGGTTGCGAAGTGCGAATACAACTCTAAATGGGACTTCGCCTAGCCTGCCTCTAGTTGAGCAGTTGCTTGTGTGGATTCTAGTCTAATAGGAGCTTCTCCAAACTGCCTCGAGTTGAGAAGATACTCATGCGGACGCTTGTCTAATTGTGGCCTTACCCGCTGCCTTGAGCTAGGTAGTGCCTATGTAGATACTAGTCTAATTGGGAATCCTTAGGACCGCCTTAAGTTGAGAAGGTGCTCATAGAGACACTTCTCTAATTGGGGCTTCCTCTAGTTAAGAAGGTGCTAATGCGGACACTTGTCTAATTAGGGCTTTATCTAACCTGCCTTGAGTTGGCAGTACTTGTGTAGATACTAGTCTAATTAGGGCTTCTTATGAGTTGGGCAGTGCTTGTGCTAGTACTAGTCTAACTAGGGACTTACCTAACCTCCTTGAGCTGAGTAGCTTCGCAATGCACAGCCCTAGCTTAGGGTTACTAACAAATGTAAGCCGCTAGAAGATATCTATAAGGCAGGAGATAACGACATTTAAATCTAGATTACCTAATGTGCCAAAGTCTAAAAGACTAGGTAGTTAGAGTAGGGGACGGGTTACACTGCTATACTCCTTGTTGCATGGATGTTGATATACCTAGTCTAGCTAATGCTGCCATTTCTAACGCCATTTAAGTCCTATTTAAGAATTACCTAACCCTTCTTAAGGGACGACTGTGATTGTACTATATCTAGGCCTATAGAACACGACAATTCGAGCGTTGCACACTAGTGAGACTACGAGGCGCCTGCATAAGGAGGTTGAAAAGCCATGCTAAGGATTTAAGGAGGTTAGGCAGGTTTCTGTCTCCCCTGTAATATTGGATATTTGCCAGCTTAACTACAGTAGATACGACGAGCATTGTTCGCTACTGTCGTTGCTAATAGTCATTAAAAGGTAGGGATGCAAAAATGACAAGAAGGGAAATACTCCTACGTTAAGTCTATAAGAAGGCCTAAAGTGCACATTTCACTCTATAGTTTTTCTTTCGATAGTAGGACTACTCTTATTTCACTAGCATTGAAAATGAATACTTTATGCGTTATCCCTTATAAATACATCCCTTACAAGACTTAACGAAAGGATTATAGTGCAAGATGTTAAGTAGAGATCGGTACTACCCGCTATAGTAGCCATCTTAAAGGTGGAAACGACTCTTGTTGTGCGTTAGAGATCTAACAAACTACCCTAAATATCTACAATCTAGAAGATGAAAGTTAAGTTAGTAAGCTAGCTCTAGACGATACTCCTAACTTTCCTAATCTTAGCGATTCGGAAATACATAGTAGTCTTACTAGCAATCAAGGTAGACATGCAACTTCACAGTATTGCAATATCCTGCTGATAGTGTGTATTTAGCTAGGCTAATTGATCTCGAGAACGAAGTCAACAACTCTAGCAATTTCATATTAGAAACAACGTACGTTAGTGCAGCTAAGCATAGCATTAACAGGAGGAGTCTAGTTGCTCCTAAATCTAGAGATTACAATAATAGGACGGATTAAGAGCTAGCTAGTAAGGAGGTATTAACACTTAATTCTGTTAGCTCTCCTATATGCTATCTATATAGCTTCGATGTGATTACATTTGCTAGGAGCCCCCCTAGTTAGGATGACGAGGATTCTACTATTGCTAGGGAACTAGAGATATTATCTCTTAATGGCTTTAGTAAGCCAGATGAAGAATATCGATAGAAAAACGAAAGCGTACCTTAGGGCTATACTATCATCGTTAAGCGCAACGAGGTTTATAGGGGAATGCAACCCTATAAGCAAACACTAGGCAACAATACTATAAGGAAAGCGAGCATTATAGCTATACGAGACAACGTAGGAAATACGTAGGGTCTCTAATATCTAAAACGGACAAGAGCCTCTAATGTTGACAAGACTACTGCTTATTAGAGTTAATTGAAGCAATAACGCCTATTGCTACTAGATTTAGAAAATGACAGTAGTAGTAGCAAGGATGATAACGAGGATAACGCTAACTACGAACTTAATGAAACCTATAATGACAGCTATGTCTCATTACCTTCCTTAGCTTGCAATTTAGAAGAACGGCTAGTTTAAGGCGTCTATAGTAACAATATTATCAATCTAGAAATGCTCATTCTAGTATATATCCCTTAAAAGTATCTTTAGTACCTCGCCCTTTAGCAAAGCATGCATTCTATAACAGCTAGAGTTAAATTATACAACTTAAAGCGAAAATCTACATTAGTTAAAGCTATAGGGACAAGATATACTAAAGATGACGACAAGCAACTACTTGAATTAAAGGAGGAAAGGGGGATGTCATAGTAGGAAATATAGAGGGAGTATTTCCTATAGAGAGAGATTAACTCCCTATAGGTACATATAATGCTAGGTCTTAAACTATAAGACTTATAGAGGTTTCGTTACGTTAGTTTACTTAATAGAGGAGGCAGGGGATTAGACACTAAAGGCTTTCGTAAAACACGTTATAGTATATAACAAAATACTATATTAAGTTGAGCACGAAGCTCCTATCTAAGGAATAACTATCTACTTATATAGTAGCGTCATGCTAAAGGGAATAGTTGGAATAGCAGACTCTCTAACTATTCTCACTATTCCTACTAATCTAATTACATGTGTGTCCTATAAGAGGTGCTACACTTATTGTAGGTACTGATTCCTATAGGTGCCTTTCTAAGGAGGCACCTTGCTCTACATAGGTGCCTTTCCTAATAGGCACCTCTCTTTAGCTAGGTACCTTCTAAGAAAGGTACCTTTTCCTAAAGGTGCCCTTATTAACTAAGCTACCTATAATCTCTACGTCCATTTCCTACTGCTAATTAGCTACAAGCTATTTTACCTTATTATTCTATCTTGTAGCATATAGGTTGTATGTTTTAGCTGTAACAGCAAGGTGCTTAATCGTTATAATCTAATCATTGATTTCGTTGCAGTTATACCATCCTTAACTTAGGTAAATGCTTAAAGCATCTTTATATATGTCGAGTAGCGTTTTCAACTCTATACGTATACAATCTAGCATGCCTATTTTTTAAATAAGTCTGCATGTCGACTAATGTAGCTTATGGAAAGAGTTGAAAGACTCTGCATTAAAAGACCCTAATGCATCTCGATTTTTCACAGCAGAGAGACGATATTTCTAGGCAGGGACTACATTCATCACTTCCTATAGCACGTCTCTAATTAGTATCTAGCAAGCATTTGCAGGTTGCTTTGTCTTACCTTTAACGCAAGCTGTTCTATGATTTCATTTCCTATTGCAACATCTTTCACTATATGTGTTAACCTAATATTCAGCCGTACTTTCAATTGTTCTAGTAGCTTAGCCACAGTTGAATTATCCACTCCTACGTCCTAGCTGTTAACACTAATCGTATCAACGTCGGCAATAGTAGGTGATAATGGGCCGGAGGAATTATTAGGGATACTAGACAGCTGAAGGCGTTTCTAATAATCTGCTATAGCTAAGGGAAAGCTAGCAACGTCTAGGTTGTCTTTTCCGCTATTAAGTTCTAGCTTAGTCTCATTACAAAGAACCTATTTGTGTTAGAAAAAGGCAAGCAGGATATCTTAGAGTTAACATACTTGTAGCGTCGGCTTCTCCTCCTTATTTCTTTTAGTACCTCTATTTATATCATCATTACTCTTTCGTTTCTTAGGTTTTAATAGGACCATTTCAAAAGGCGGGGGCGAGAGCTTTAACGTATTAGAGCAGCCTAACTTTTAGGCGTTAGTAGTAGTAGGCAGGGCAAAGTCTAACGGCAAGAAAATTAAAGGAACAGAGCCCTCCCTAGGAGGCCTTTGTGGGAAATCCATGCTAAATATTATTAACTAAGTTAAAAACTTTCCTTAGCGTTAGAAACAAATCAATTAGACAGGAAGAGGGGGGGGCTGGCTTCTTTATAAGTTAGATGAGCATGCCGTCGTTTATATCTATAGATACTAACAAAACCGATTTACTATGTAGTAGTGGGAAGTAGGCTGTAAATATTGTACTACTATGTTATAATCTAAAACAAATGCTAACCCCTTGTTTCGCGCTAGCGTATACACTAGCCTAGTGCGGGAAAGGGCGCCTAGGGGTTAAAGACCTAGCTTACAAAGCACCTACCTAGATAAGGGGAAGTAGATAGGAAGAGCGTTGATTATAGAGGTGTGCTGCCCTGTTCTAGGGTGTGGCGCGAAGGCATGGAATAAACGAATAGAACATGTTTCGAGGCATTAGGAGAGTGTAGCGAAGGGGAGCGAGAGTAGAGGGGGGGTGGGAGCTAGCTAGTGTGTAAGGGTGTAGGAGGTAGATGTAGAGTGTAAGCAGAGGGAGGGCGGTTAAGGAAAACGAGGGGCGGCAATGTGGGTTTTTAGCTGCCTTTAGGCAGGGTTTTACTAATCTAACCTTTGGATTTCCTCTTTAGCTAATTACTTATTACCCTTCTTTATACGAAAATTTACCTAACATCATTATACATCGCTTTACGTATATTATATAAAAAATACTATAACATAACAGCAAAATCATAAATTACTCTCTGCCTAACATCCTATGTTACCTTACACTATTAGATTAATAGTATTTATCTGTATATAAACTATAAAGGCCTAGATCTTGTAAAAAGCCTTCATTGTAACGAAGATCGTTAATACATTTAAAAAATGCTTAGTGTGTTATAGCTAAAACATACAACCTATATGCTATAAGATAGAATAATAAGGTAAAATAGCTTATAGCTAATTAGCAGTAGGAAATGGACGTAGAGATTGTAGGTAGCTTAGTTAATAAGGGCACCTTTAGGAAAAGGTACCTTTCTTAGAAGGTACCTAGCTAAAGAGAGGTGCCTATTAGGAAAGGCACCTATATAGAGTAAGGTGCCTCCTTAAAAAGGCACCTATAGGAATCGGTACCTATAATAAGTATAGCACCTCTTATAGGACACACACGTAATTAGATTAGTAGGAATAGTAAGAATAGTTAGAGAGTCTGCTATTCTAACTATTCCCTTTAGCATAACGCTACTATATAAGTAGATAGTTATTCCTTAGATAGGAGCTTTGTGCTTAACTTAATATAGTATTTTGTTATATACTATAACGTGTTTTATAAAAGCCTTTAGTGTCTAATCCCCTACCTCCTCTATTAAGTAAACTAACATAACAAAACCTCTATAAGTCTTATAGTTTAAGACCTAGCGTTATAGAAGTATCTTAAGGTTAATTAAGCAGTCTCTATTAAACTTAGTGCTACTAGACAAGAGACGCCTGTTTTTCTCCTAGTTCTGTTTCTCATTGCAGAGGATATTCTACTTAAATATAACGTCTCTGTCTTTAAAGGTAAACTTAAGAGCGCCTTTATATAGTTGTGTTCTCATTAATTTGTTAATACTATACTAGGAATAATTGCAACCATCTACAATTCCTTTAAGTTCTAATAGGACCTCTTAGTCTAATAGCGCTTTAATTTGTAAAACCTCTTGCTTTAGCTAAAGCGTAAACCTAGCTAGAGTAGTGTCCTTAGTCATTATACCCTAAGTATGTTTGTTAGTAGCCATTGTTAATAATAGAGGAAAGAAAATGCTGCTTAGCTACATAGAATGATGTATTATAAGTTTATTTTGCAGCTAATTAGGACTTTTAAGGAGAGGTAGGAGAACCATTTAGAGCATTAGACTTAAGTAGGCCATTAGACTTAAGGGGGCCATTAGACTTAAGGGGGCCATTAGTCTAAGGCGTACTAGTTTCTTGTTTGGAATGGACAGCCAACTTAATGCTAAAATCTCAGTATGCTTAATTTTAACTTCTGTCTTTAAACTATAGCTAACGTTAGAACCCTAGATATTCTACAAAACGCTAAGAGTATGTAAGTGTAGGGGGGACCCTATCGGTTAAGCCTTAAAAAACTTTCCTTATATAGAAAATAAGAAAGTTAAGAATGTAATAACTTCTCTAAGCTTATGAAATATGAAATTTGCTCAACTTCTAAATATTCTCTAAGGAGTGCTATAACTGTCTATACTATATTGTGTTCTTAATTTTGCTAGATTTGTTTTGCTGTTTCCATTCTTGCTACTTTTCCTGAATTTAATGCTACGTCTTGTCTAGGTGCATAGGAGATATTAATGCGTACAAAAATTCTAAGATGCTTAAAGTTAAAGTAACTATCAATTTTCTCAACACATAGGCTTCTTGCTACAAAGAGAGGGGTACTGTTGTAATTAGACTCTTAACAAGTTCGTAAGCAGACAAGGTATAAGCTCTATATAGCGTAAATATTAGAAACGAAAGTTTATTCCATTTATACTATTAATTGTAAACTAGAGCGCTAATAGTATAGCTACATACGTGCTCAACAATTAGTACACTATGCTTAGTTAGCCTAACTTTTAAAGACTATAATGGTGTGTGTAGTAATGATAGTTGTTAATGTAACAGTGCTGGTTGTCGTCAATGAAGAAGCTGTAGACACAGTAGATTTAAAAGTAGATTTAGAAGCGGAGTTACAGTTAGGCATTCTAGCTCTAAGGTTAGCGTAAGTCGAATCTAGATATACAAGTCTGTTTAAGGTCATCTTAAGGCCTAAACCATCTTAACCACCTAATGCTAAGTAGACACTCCTAATTAGGCTCTTGCTTCCTAAGGCATCAGCGCTGCTCTCCTACTACATAGCGCTACTAAGTCCTCTTTTCTAGATCTACGCTGCCTTTTGATTTACCATTTTAATATTATCATAGCTAATAAACTCTCTCTTCGTAGCATCATAGCTATAGCTCACTCCTAGCTTGCTGTTAAATTGCTCTTTAGCCCCTATTAAAGGCAATTCTTTGAAATTATAAATGCCTAGCTCCTAGGTTCCTAGGCTAACGCTAACGAATGGTGATCTAGCACTAGCAGTTGAATTAAAAGCACGGCTATATATAGGAATACCAAGTACTATATTTTGCGGCGCAACGCCTTTAGAAATGTAATAGTTAACAGCAGTTAGTGTATTAAATGGCGTCGAGCTATCGTTCGTAGGGAAAAGGTTTGCTTAGTGGCCTGTCTGTGGACTCCTAGACTAGACATAATCGTATGCTATAAGGTTCTAGAAATTGACGTATTAGTCCATCTTAGCTATTATTAACTTTTCATAATTAGACGGGCCTATAGGGCATGCAACTGTAAGCGTGAAGTAGTATGGCGTGCTAAGTAAGTTGCTATATGTATCAAGGGCATCCCTAACAGCTTAAAGTAGAAGGACAAAATTTTGTGCTTAAGTAGCATCTACTAGATATTCCTAATTAATATTAAGCCCGTTAAGTCCGAGATTCTGTATAAGTGAGACTGCAGATGAGGCAAAGGTAGAGCGACTAGACGTAGTTGTAGCTAGAGTTGTAAAGTTTGCTAAATAGGTCTAGCTGCTAATCGAAAGTAGAACCTTTAGGTGCTGGTTTTTTTTTTTTAGGATGTAGAGCTGATTTAGACAGCCATAGAGATTACCACTAGTGTCGTCTATAGGATTACCTTCAAAATGTATATTAGTATCGGCCTATTAATCCGACAAGAATCTAGTTTATTCTAATAGTTAGATAATATAATTTTACTGTTTAAGGTAGACCTACACGTTCCCTGTCTCTAGGTTGATATTTGCGAAGGCATATAGCACATACGTAATCTTATCTGCTAGTATGTCTTAGGGAAAGAACTTTCTCCTATAGATTGCCCTATAACTGTTAGCTTTAGACGCATATGGAAGGGCAAGAAGGAGGCAAACCAATTTACGTAATATGCAACATTACAATAGCCATCGCCTTTTGGCTAGGAGGCTGTACAGCTTTCTACAAGTGAAGATGTATGTCTAAACGAACACCTGCATACAAGCAACAAGATTGCTAATTTAAAAAGCCTTGCCATGGTCTGTTTATAATTGTCTGTATAATATAAAATTCTGTTTATGAAGAGTTTTGTTATCTATTAAGTAGCTGAGGTTATTTAGGGTGGACGTAAGGGGGCGTCTAAAGAAAGGGGGCCCTCTAAAGAAAGGGGACCCCTAAAGAAAAGGGGCCTTCTAAAGGTAGAATGGCTTCTGCAAAAGTCTAACTTAGAATTGATTAGCGAGATTTAAGAGCAAAATCGAATCCCGATACTGTATACTGTAACCACTATTTGTTTCGGGGTCCATTAGTAGGCATTACAATGCTGCTAGCCACCCGCCTACGTAGCCCCTAATTACAGGCGCATCGTTACGTAAGCTAAGAGTACTGACAGCTCACCTTGCCTCTAGCCTTTGAATTCGACAAGTCGGAGACGCTTAGCACTTTGAAAGTTCTATTAAGAAAGTACTGTATATGGCTGTACCGTAAAGCTTTGAAGACACACGGCGTAAGGGATAGACAAAGGGGGAGGAGGTACACAAAACGCCAAGAGTCGCAGGGATGATTCACTTCCCTTACATAACGTCGTATTATATCATACATAAGTTATACTAGATTCATAAACAGTAGGTCGCGTAATCTTGTATAGGGAAATCAGGTAACTTAGATGCGAAGGCATTCATCGTTCACGTTCAGTGAAACCCGTGACAATAGAGGATAGACCCTCACTTCCGTCACCTAGCCAACGATCCATTCCACCCTTTCATTAATTATCCTTCTCTCCCTTCCCTCCCTTCTCGCCCTTCTCGCCCTTCTTGCCCAGATCGCCCGGAGACACAAAGGCCACGAAGCGAAACACTCCCGCGATATCTGTTGGGCCAGCGTACTACAACTCCTATCTTGAAGCTATCCGCGAACTTTATCCCAACATCCTTACTGTTACCCCGCTCTCGACCTTTCACGACAACCTCGAGTCTTTCGAATATTTATCCATACCTAACAAAAGGGACAATGGGAACAAAGAACTAAGATTATATACTCCTATGACACGATCCTCCATCGACCAAACCATCCCCCTCAACCCCAACTAAGCACCGACTACACAACCGCCCTTGCCCTCCGCATCATCACTAGAGGACTAATTACACAATGAACTCTATAAGAAGTCCGTTTGTTTGTTTGTATAAGCGTCTTCAGCTAATGAAAGAAAGGCTTTAGAGGATACGTTCAATGCTACTGCCAGCACCATACAGCAACAAATTGGGCAGGAAGTATTTCCATTCTTGAAACTACCCTCCGAGCTCCGCAACGAAGTCTATAGAAACTTACTAGTTCACCACGAACCCGTTGGATTGAAGTTCGACCCTCGCGGAGAGAAATTTGAAACTTATTATGGGATGTTTCCTGAGATTTGCCGTACTAGTAAAACAGTCGCCTTCAAGAGTTTCGCTATACTGTACAGTGAGAACACATTCCGTTTTGCAGACTTTTTAGAGGAAATCCATACCCTATACTGCTCCTTTAATATGCTGAGGCACAATATTAGTCGGTGGGACAATACTAGTCTGATAGGCTATTATTACTCCTATTTTTATACAACTATCATGGTTGATGCCTTTTTGCACTTTGGTTAAGTTAGTGGGAATTTATATGAATGCAGCATATACACCCCGAACCTGAAGAAGTTACTGTTGCATTTGCCTGAAAGACTGCGGACATTAACAATAGAGAACAAGAAACGGCTGCTCGACCTCAAAGCGGAAGCACCCAAACATGCTACCGTCGAATTTTGCGGCGCAACACCTGATATCATTGCAGAAGTCACAGATGCCTGGTCCAACTATATACCTAAAAAAACGGAAGAAGATGAGTGCGTATGTCAGACCCTAGTTGATCTACCATACTAACTATGCCACAGGCCCATTCACTTCGTCGAGGGCCCGGATTGGTTTAAGAAGCAAGTGAGGACACACGGGGGCGAGCTTTATTTGCGTCTAAGGAAGTTGCTTATAAGTCGACGACCGATGCCGTTGCTAGTCCTCCCTCCCCTACCGACGTTGCAATTAGTGCGGAGGCCCACTGCTTAAAACTATCCTGCCATCCTTATCAAGTACCGCTCCTTTAGTGGTAAGTACTAGGCGTTTATTGTATCTTCGTGAATGATAGCTTTCATTTGCCGCTATTCCGAGAGCATCCTTTGGAACCCATATGATGCACCTTAATATGCTGCCAGCATTCCCGCATTTAGAAAAGCACACTGTACAGGCGGTGTCAAATTTGTTGACCTGCTTACTTTCCACCTGTTTGTGATATCCAACAATCTTACCCATGATTGAAGTTGGTCTCCAACTAAGCCCATCCCAATAACCCATTGTGCACTGGAATACAAGAGTGAAGAATACTAGGAATATCATAGCAATAGCTTGTGCAGCACAGACAGGCTCATCGTTGCTATCGCAGACGAGATAAAATAAACCACTAAGGCAGAGTTCCATACAGTACAAACTAGTGAATAGCTGGCGTATAGCAGTGGGATAAAACTGGCCGCGACTACATAATATCGAGTCTAACAGCTTTAGGGGGTGGCTTCGATATAGAATCCATAGCGCCCTAAATACTATGACACTAAACAGTAAAATGAGGGGAGCAATCACTGAATAGATTAGTCCTAAAACATTAATAATTAGCACTGAACACAGCTTGTCTACAGGGCGCATACCTATACATGCAAGGTTTGTATATACTAGCACAAAGGTGCCCTAGAGCTTGATGTTGATTGCCTCGCTCCTCGTCCATTTCTGCCTCGCAGTCTTGTCTCGTATATACGAAAGAAGAAGATTCAACAGCTTTTCGCCGCATATGAGTGTAATGCTGATTGTTGAAGATGCCTTCAAGATGAAGTAGGAGAAGAAATAATTGCTAGCCTTTGGCAAGTTCTGTGTAAGGACGAGGGGCACCGATTTGGCACTGCTTCTAAGCCCCGCAAGCACTGTTGTGATACTAGAGGACAGGGAAGCGACGAGGAAGACCTGAATAAAGAGGAAGGTAAAATAAAGCCTTTGCACCGAGCTCTCTACAGCCTGATGTGAATGTAACTTCTAGAAATTTACTAGGACGCGTAGAGCCATGGGCACTAGTGAGATCCATACTGCTAGCATAATCGGAGGGAGGACACCTTGAATTGCAAGTACCAACTAACTTAGGAGCGTCTCTAGCCAGGCTAATTCTAGGATTATCCTAACGATATACGCGATTTGAGACACAGCACTAGTGATTGTGACAGGGAGGGCGTATCTAAGTATAAGCCTAGCAAAAAGAAAATAGGCTGTGACTGTCCGAATACATCTTTCCCACGGACGTATCAGGAGATTTGTCTATATAACATCATCATGCGTAGCCCCTTGCTTAATCGTCTAAAAAGACAGGCTTTGAGTAGCTAAAATCAGAACAGATAGTGGGTCCGAGAGTCGATGATTGAAATAAACAAACGTAGAGTTTAGAGACGGAAACGAGTACAGCCGGAGTCTATCTCGCTCTGTATTAAGGCTGCATTGAACAATCTTAGAACGACAATACTGTATGGTGTCAACTCTAGGTCCAAAAAGTTGCTTCCACCTAGAAGTGGATGGGCTTATCGTAGGTCGGTCACTCTCGAGCAAATATCTCTTCCACAACAGCACAAAACTGTGTTGAGCCAATAGCGGCTGAGCAGGCATTCCCTTAGAGCGGCTCGCTTTCCTAACCAGCTCCGTTTCGGCGGCCTCAAGCTTCGCGATCCAAGCATCCAGACGGGAAATCTTAGCATCAAGCACGCGAAAGTCGCGGTTTATCGTGATGCCCTGCACACCCCCAAACATGGCACTGAAATGTCTTTGAATTGCTTTGGGATGAAGCGGCTTCTTTGACGAAGAGATAATGAGGATGCTAGATCCGGTAGACTGAGCGCCCAAGGACTCCTCAAACGCCCTAACAGAACGACAGGGTCCCCTACAAATTTTCACCTCGCCTCCGCCACTGTACATATCGCATACACTGCATCCATGTCCCGGATTTTCGCATTGCCGCATATCGATCCTAGAGATCCTAAGCCATAGGCGTTCCCCATCACACATGGCATGTAAAGCAACAACACCAGCCGGCACTCCTGAAACCCCGCAGCACGAGCAAGGGGTCCAAGCAGTTCTAGCCGTCTTGAAATTGAGAAGCGGGAGGGAGAGCCAGTGGGAGTGGCAATGCCCTCATCTAGTTGCCAGATTAGGGATAGGAGGGATGATTCCTGGGAAGTACCGTCCCGAGGGCGGCATTTTTTCTCTGAAACCCACTTACTCGAGCACGCCCCAAGTTTTAGTGGAGTGCGGTTGGTGCGCTCGAGCCCCAAGTTCGGGCTCCGGCAGAGTTCGGGCCAGAAGAGTGGTCAGTGCTCGGCGAGGGGAACGGGAAAGGGATGGGGCGGGAATGGAAGGTCAACAGATATCTACGGTACAAGATCGAGCTGCAAGGTCGAGGCCTTCATAATTACCGCGGCTGGCGATGATCTTAATGTTTGTCCTTTTGTTCTGCCTGCCGAAACCCGCCGAAACCCACCGAAACCCACCGAAACGCGTCGACTAGCGTAACGCGTTAACACAAGGGCTAAGAGTATTTGTGGTTGAAAATAAGACGACTAAGTACCTTCACATACTAGCTTAGTCGCAAAGGTACAGTATATCCATACGCTCCCATGTTATGCCACGGCTTACATAATACAAACTTGGCAACGACGCGGTAAAGCATCAACACTGGCAAATGCCGATCCCCCTCATCGCTAATCTTTTCCGACCTAGGTCTAATCTGTGATGGCATGTCTAGCGTGGTTGCGTGGTTGCGTGGCTGATTGACTGCCTGACCGCCTGACTGTCTTGCTACCTACAGTATCTGACTACTGTATCGAACAGCAAACCCACCCATGTGTCGATCTGGGGAAGCCGTGTTCTTCATGTTGCAGCGTTGCAGCAATGCGGGGATGCCCTGAAACTGCATATGCAGTGGTGGCTTCAAGAAACGTGCTGTCTGAGGCGTTAGCACATGGCACGCTGAGACATGCGGTGCCCAAGACTATCGGTGCCCACACTAAGGCGACAAGGGATTGCCAAGTCTTGGTGTGCTGACGACTCTCGATCTACGCTGAGGTGGGAACGCATGGGATTGCAGGGATTGCTAAGACTTCGAAGAGCGGAGATCACCCCATTCAGATGGGATTGCATGGGCTTGCCAGGTCCAGATGTATCCAAGGCCCTAAGACCCTAAGAGTGGCTATTAGTGGCTGTCAACATACGGCACCACCCCCAGTCAAACAAGATATCACACAATCCATCACATACCCCTTTCCACTAACAATGGTTTCCTGCAAGCACTGCTTTCCCCTCCACAGAACCCACCCGCCCTTGCGGTCTAGCATTTCCCGAGTGGTAGGTGCAACAGCGCTCGGTTCTGTTAAATCACAAAAAGTAAATCACGGGTTGCTTTGCGGGGGCGTTAGCTTAGAGCGGGATGACCGCCAAGTGTGGCGTCCAATATGGCTCTGGGCAGTTCGCAAAACAATCTTATACACAATGGTCGTCAGTGCCTTCAGAAATACGTGCAGATGACGCTGTCCTCGTACTTTTTGCAGTTGGAGATGGTTGTGCATCTGCTGGTTCAAATCATAACCCATCACTATTAACACTGATATTTGGCAGCAATCTTGTCAAACTCTTCTACAGCCTCGCCGGCTCAACATTCGTTACCCTGTTTTATTGCTTCAGTAACTTGCCGCAATGTCAGCGAACAATGGCCTCACAGGCGCGCTGGAGACGACGACACTGCCCATTGCGATGACCATCAGCGCCTTTACTGCGATAGCATGGTATTTAGTCATCGACCTCAACGTTGTCATTTGGATGACCTTCAAAAGGCGCCACGGGCTCTACTTTTACAGTCTGCTCTGCGCGTCGTGGGGGATTGCATTATTCGCTCTGGCATTTCTCATGAAGTTTTTCAATATCTGGGAAAATCCTTATATCTCATGTACCTTTATTACCATTGGGTGGTATGCTATGGTTACAGGCCAGTCACTCGTTTTATATTCTCGACTCCATCTCGTCGTTCACGATAAGCGCAATATCCGATGGGTCCTCTATATGATTATCACCAGCGTTGTCTTATTTCACTTTCCTACAACGGTCATGACTTTCGGGGTAAGTGCGATCAACCACAACCATGCACAGAAATCCGTGTTAAGTATGCTTTTAGGCAAATTCAGACAAGGCAGATCTCTTTGCCACTCCATACTCGATCATGGAGAAGATTCAAGTCACAGCCTTCTGCATACAGGAATTTATCATCTCAGGCCTCTATATCTACGCAACACGACAGATCCTCAAGCCAGGAGGAACCTTCCAGAAGAAGCGCACACGCCAGGTCATGATGCACTTAATCTACGTCAACGTTATTGTCATGTTGATGGACATTACACTCCTCGGTACCGAGTACGCTAACCTTTACGAAATCCAAATAACATTCAAAAGCGCTCTCTACAGCGTCAAATTACGACTCGAATTCGCTGTTCTCAACCAGCTGAGATCACTCGTGTTCCCAGGCGATGGCTCCGGCGGCAATCAAAGCAGCTCGAATCATAACCATCAGTCTAGACCAAGAGAGGGGACAGCCCTCCGTACACTCCAGGGCCAGGGCCACCAGGCAGATGAAGCAGCACAGTCAAACAATTATACGTGCTTTGCAAGTAGCAACAAACCGTCGCCGCTTTCTCGCCGTGGTGAGGATGATACTCGAGTGATAATTGCGACTGAGGTTGTGGTGAAGACTGAAGATGCTTCCAAGACAAATCAGGGGGCTGGGACGAGGACGGATATCGTTGCGAATGGCAGAACGAGCAGGCAGAATGGGAAGCTTTCTCCAAGTTCATCAGAGGTGGAGTTCGCAAACGCTGGTTATTGACCGTCATGTAATAATAAGGGAGCTCGTTGAGATTGTATTCTAATAAGCTATATTAATGAGCAGATTAACAAGTTTGTTGCTAGGAGAAGCAACATACGTAGTTTGCAGGATAGGATTGATGAATATTAGGGATTTCAAGGCTAGCGGTCCTCGCAATAATTTAAAGCTGCCTTTTCACAAACTGTGTCACTGTACTGATCCCTTGATGTGCATGTTAACGTACTAGTAATTGCCATTGCAGAATCGAGCACTTACAGAGGGACGAACCAGGCGCTTGCGTATAGTTAGGGTATGCCGGTCCGAGCCCATCAAAAGTCTTACACTGCTGGATCTCTCCATGGCTAATGCCTATCCTACCGCACTAATATAATGAACTAAAATTATCGAGATATAATGCGGGAGAAGAACTTGGAAGGCCAGCTCATGCAGATACAGAATTATTTATTCACACTTGAAGTACTAGTTGCACAACCCTGCACTATGCCATTCACCGTAGCAGCCCCAGGCATACTCATCGCTATATTTCCTCAATCTACCACCACAACCTCTTGTTCGCCTCGAAATCCTGGCTCATCCCGAAACGTCCTCTAGGTATGAGTGTAGTTTGTACTCGCGACGGGGGCACGGGACACGGGTAGCGGTCGATGGTAGAAAGGCGGGGATAGTGAATTTGGCTGGGGGGGAGCGGGCCGCCGGGGTGAGGGCGGGAGAGGATAGGGGATGGCGTGGCAAGTCTCAGCAGCGAGGGCCGTGTGTAACTCCGCAGTTCCGCTTGCAAGATCAGACACACAGATATAGCCACAAAAACTGCTGAAACGAGGTGCGTCCAGTACCGGTAAGGGTGTGAGAACCCAACATTTGAGAAACTCAGCCGATCCAATCCCTTCACCCCCACGGTCTCGCTTTTGCCGCCGAGATTTATCGGCAGGAGGATAGGCAGCAATGACAAACCTAATAAAATAAATATCCTCAATAGCGTATGCATATATCGATCAAATAGATAGTTCTCGAGGCCAGATAGTTGGTCCGAACTGGGGTCTTGCATGGGGAGAAAGATCATCCGTGGCCACACCGCCACGGCTCGCCATCTCGGCTCAGTGTTCCCCGGATACGTATCCGGATACTATCCGTGAACTCTACGGATAGGATACAGTATCCGTGAGAAATCCATAGATATGTATCCGGATATCCAGATATGTATCCGGATACATGAGGCTTAAGGCTATAATAGAGTATATAAAAATGTAATTGAAGCTCATAGCTATACTCTATATATACAATAACTCCTATTCCTCCCGCTCATCGTCTGCATCACTATCATCTGCCTCTAGTAAATGGCCCCAATCCTGTAAGCAAAGTAGATATCTAACTGTTGATGGCGACAGTCTGTTCCGTTTCTTAGTAATAATATCACTACCATTGCTAAATACCTGTTCTGATGCAGCTAATGTTGTAGGGATTGCAAGATGATCTCTTACAATCTTTGCAATAACTAGATATTAGTACTGCTTTACAGCCTAATATTTGAGTATATCAGTCTATAGTCTAGGACAGCCCTCGTTGTTCTCCATTCTAGCTCTTAATGAGAGGTTGCAGTTGTGACATATAAATCATCATTAGAGTCTAGCTCTAGTTGCTCCTCAACTTCTAATTGAATCTGTTGCTCAATTCTCTCATTAGTAAGCTAATACTCACAGCTATTATACTAGTTGTATACAGCCCTAAATTAAGCTAATACTCGATGCCTTTTAGCATTCTCAATGCTAGTTGGCCATAGCCTCTAAAATACAGTAAGATTCATCTGTAGATCACAAACTGTAGCTACAGCTAAGTGACTATAACGCTAGCTTGTTGTTAAAGTATAGTATTTGTTAAGTTTAAGCAACGCAGCTATATAAGCTAGGCCAATTGTCGTCTGGTTACTAACTGCCTAAATTGTCATTTTAAGTCTCTCAATCATCTTAAGATATTTTGGAATAACGTAGTTTAGAGTTGGGTAGGCGCTTGCTTGCATCTTTTAAGACGGGCTTAAAAAGATCTTAAACAAATCCTTAAGACTCTAAATAATTGTCTAATCTTCTAAAGTAAGAGCAATCTCTCTTATACTTAGATTAAAAGTCTGTGTAGCACATATAGTAGTTATAGGATCTTGTAAGTACTTTGTAGTTATAAGCATATAGTATGTAGAATTCCATTGAATTAGCATGTTAAGCGTTAGCTGTCAAGGCTTAAGACTAGCTGTAAGTGCTTGCCTTCGTAGAGCGTCGTTCTATTGCCTTTGATTCTAGAATACATATATATGCCTCTATAGCTTTGCTAGAGTTATCATAATCTCTATATTGCTCTCAACTGTATACGGAATCTAAGCTACGCCTAGCTCACATCAATAATCATTAATCTCTACTAATGGGTCAGCTTTTAAGGCTTTAAGAGTAGCTTAAACTACAAGATTGATAATATAGGCAATATAGCGTACGTTACCTTCCTTAACAGTAAAGGGCCATGGTTGTTAAGATGAAATTGGATAGGCTTTAGCTAGTTTCTTAAACTTAGACAGCATTATATTATTAACTGAGGCGTTGTCCTAAGTGCAAGTAAAGATAGCTCTTATAATGCCCATTCCGTCTGTAACAGCTTATAACTCCTCTACAAGATATTCACTGCTATGAATAGGCTCTTTAAGATGTATTACATTAAGCAAAGCTAACCGTTGCTGCCATTTATCATTAATCTAATGACTAGTAACTGCTGCAAACTAGGTATAGTTGCGAGCTAACTAGGCGTCTGTTGTAATTGATATTCGTCCTCTACTCTTAATATGAGAATCAAGCTCTACAATTAACTGCCCTCGGTGATATGAGAATTAGCAGAGCAGCTCACAGCTAACAGTTGTAGTAGATATACTAAGTGTAGTTAGGCTTAGGAAGTGTACTAGTTGACGGTATGTGTAGCTCTCTACAATACTCAAAGATAGGTTATTTAATAACGTAAGTCGTGGCGTACTGCGTCTAATGGCGTAATGCGTCTATGTACCTTTATAGCGGAATTTATATGTAAAGGTACTTAAATCCTAAAACTTCAAACTTAAATAACTCTGTTAATAAAAATACTAGAGCTTATTCCTCTTATATATAAGATGTTTATATACTTATACTTATATAATCACTAACATAATTATATAAGCTAGCCTTACATAGAAGATATTAGTAAATGTAGATTTACTATACTAATGTTTTATATAGTAAATACTTAAACCTTTAATAACTTATACAAGTTAATGTGTATGTTACTAGGGTTCTTATATATAAAATACTAGTCTATATAGATCCTATATATAAGAGGAATAAGTTCTAGTATTTTTATTAATAGAGTTATTTAAGTTTGAAGTTTTAGGATTTAAGTACCTTTACATATAAATTCTGCTGTAAAGTTACATAGACGCATTACGCCATTAGACGCAGTACGCTACAACTTACGTTACAATAAATTGTATTAACAATTCTCTATATTTTACTTAGTGGAGTGCTAGCTTAAGTGTAGGCTGTAGTAGCTAGTAAGGCTTAAAAAAGGATGATGAATTGCTGCTTAAAGCGCTAGATATAGCGATATTGCTGTTCTTGCTATTGTGTAGCTACTCTAAAGTAGGGTGCTTTCTCTTATAATGCAACTATAAGTTGCCTGTTAAGTTCTAGGTTGTAAGTTAGGGTAGCGGCTTATAGCTGCAGCCTAGCTAAAGGCATTTATACTGTATAGTTAAAGGTGCTGTTTTAAGTAGTAAACGGCTATATAGCCTTGTAGAGAAGAGTGATGTTTTAGTAATAGGCAAACTATAGTGTAGTAGCGGCTATAAGTAGACTAGCGTTTTTAATGTAGACAGCAGTAGAATAGGGGTATTTAAGGGCAGGAGATTTAATTCTTAATAGCCTATAGGGGCTTTAATATTAGTAGGAGCATCTAACAAAGGCAAGTCGCTCATTTTGTCTATAGTAACAAAGTTATAGTAAAGCAACTCTCAACTCTTCCTATTAACGGTAACAGTAAGCGTAACGATGAATTTTCTAGGCTTGGCTATTCTTAGCTATTCTTAGCAGGTATCTAGATATGTATCTGTAGATACTTATAGTATCTAGATACTCGTCGAATTCTTAAGGATATAAGTATCTAGATACAAGTATCTAGATACCCTAGATACTTAGGTATCTATAGGGATCACTATCTTAGCTTAACATCTAAATATATCCTAGAGCAATGAGGACTTTAGCTACTAGCCTATATGAAAAGCATGCGCAACTTACTATAACTAGAGCTACTATGCCCTAAAGACGACATAAACTAAGGTGACAAATCCACATAAAACGACTAACACTACTAAAGAGGTGAGGAATGATTAGAAAGTCTAGCCTTAAGCCTTTTAAGCTTTTCCTAAGGTAATAAATGCATCGATGATGTTATTCATCGTTTAAATAAAGGCTGGTCTAAAATGCCTATAAAATATTCCTTATAGAAGGAAAGAAACAAAACTTCATATCTTCTTAGATGCCTCTTTAGCCCCTATGTTGTTAGTGGCCCCATCTAATGATCTACTACTATAAGCCTGCTATAGTGTACCTCCTTTATAACGGCCCCTTACATGTCTATAGACCATTAAATGAGCTAATCATATACTTCCTTAAGTCTTGCAGCCCTCCTAAATGCTGTTAGCAATATCTATGGCTACGTTAGTGTAAGATGTACTGTAAAGTAATATTAACCTTAGTAGACGCCTCTTTAACTTTGTTGTAGGCGTTGTTAGCTATCTTAGAAAAGTCACTTAGAGCCTAGCTCTAGTTGTAAATCCTGTCTCGTTGTTAGCGTATATCATTAGTCGTTAATAGTATGAGTTTACATCTGTCTAAGTTGCTGCATCTCTAATGTAAGATCGCTAAAACCCCTACTCTAGCCTAAAGTAGGCAGGGATTCTTAAGGTAGTCTGTCCTAAGGGCTCTAGCTATGATCTTAATAGTAATTAGGCGCGTTTGTGTTAATGGTGGAGTTTTCTTGTACCTAAGTCTTAAGTGTAGCGATATCTAAGTTAGAAATAGTGTTAACACCTAGATTAGGGATAGTTGTGTCTATAACGGTATAGGTGCTTTGTTCATTTAGAGTCTC